TGCCGACTTTAAAGCGACGTTGAAGGTCATTCACTCCGAGGTCCTTACTATGCTGGCCAAGAACGCTGAACTAAAGGCCAAGCATACTCAATATCTTCGAACCGTAGTTGAGAAAGAGTCTCTGCGCTTGGAGATCAACAAGGCTAAGGACGAGTTGAAAGAAATCTCTTCCGAAGTCATGATTGAAGACTCTCGCGTGGTTTGTCGTACCTAATTAGTTTCTGAGCCCATCCAAAAGTTGGATCATTTATGGTTGCAGTAGCCGAATTTCTTGTGTATTGCTTGCTAAATGCTTACAACAATAACTAACTAATTGAATAACTACCCCAAAATTCTCAAGTTTTGCTAAAATTTGGCAGTCTTAAACAATCAGCTGGACCTATTTTACAAACTGCATGTATTTTACAGGATAGGACATCCATTCATAAATTCACCGTCCTTTCATATGAGTACAACATTTGTCCTACGTATAGTGTTGCCTAAGAGTCTGTTTGAGAGTGATTTTGAGAATTGATTTTTTGACCGTTAGAAGAAAAGTGGGGTCCATTTGTGAGAGAAGAAGTCAAATATGACGGCTGGAATAGTAAAATAACGGTCAAAAAATCAATTTTTTGGAAGAAAAAATTGCTCCCAAACAGCCCTTAAATAAACTCCTCTACCCGGTCTCCAAAATCAAATTTCCTATTGCAGCATTCCTCTACACCTATAACTTCTTAAAATACAATGACATTACAGAGCACAACCAGTTCATTTCTTTGCTGAAATCCAAATTCATTGGAGACCTTCTCTAACAGTATTTTGAACAGAAGGTGCGAGAGAGAACCTGTTGGGACTATGAATCTTGGACTATCCTCACCTACGTACACCCAAAAGGACCTATGGGAGTAGTGGTGGTGCTGGTTGTGATCAGGGAGGCTCCTCCTCCTTCGTCCCAGAGCAAGTACTCTTGTTTTTGTGATAGCTGGCAATTGACATTGCCAACGACCTTAACCTTCTTGGCTAGTTTCTTCATTGAATTGAGCTTCTTTTCCATCATTTTTTTGAACCAAGATAAGGGTGGGTGAAATAGGAAGAACTTGACTTTTGCATTGAAGAAAATGGTGGTGGGACCTTGGTTTTGTAGCCTTGTTTTGTGAGGTACGGTTGGATGGGGATCAAGGGATTGATATTCTTCATTTACTTCGACTTATAAATTACTTCCACCAAAAAAAATAAATTTACACTCTTAACACATTAAAAGGGCAAAAAAAATTACTTAACAAATACATCACTTCGTGGATTATCAATAACTTCCGCAAATAAAAAAAATTGATTGATGCTTGAAAGAATTTAAACTACTTTTCTAAATCTGCCGGAATAATAGAACTCAGTAATTTTTAACTATTATGTTCATAGACAAGCATCTAGCATGGTTGAGTAAACATAAATTCACGGTTAACTATAATAGTCTTATGATTGAACCAACAACCTTATTTTAAGTTGACTTTATGGGAGAAAAAGAGTGGTGACCCTCAATTCAAAAAACGATTGGAACATGTATATAAAAGTAAACAGAGATGGCAATTTTTGTACTTGGGTAGAGGATTTTCCATACGGAATTGTAGTAATTGACTTGTTTATTGGGTGAGAATGGTTGATGCGTGAAAAACTTCATACACAAAAGACATCATGTGAGTGTTATAGTTTAAAAGTATAGGCATTCATCAAGAAGATTAGCTGACTTTGGGATTAATAAAAATTTCATGGACCAATGCTAGATGTAGTGTTGGTCTTGACAGTAGCTTGAAGCCCCAATTTATGATGTTGGAATCTAAGGCTGAGACGAACCTTGGATGCAAAAATAGGATAAGTGATCAGTGGATGTAATCTAATTTGCAGTGTCTTATTAGCATTTATGGATTACCTTGAAAACAATTGAAATAATGATTTAGTCGAAGTTAGCATGCTTTGAAATAAGAGATGGGTATTTTATCAAACTTTTGTATTTGTTATTTGTTTTGCTTCTTTAAAAACATAAGAGACAAATAAATCTTTTTATGTTCTCATGACAATTTTTTTTTTTTTTTTTTGGACGGAAACCATCATCAAGAACAAAATGTGCTAATCAATGCAATGTTGAATACAAGATGCAACAAAAAGATTAGGGATATAAATGTGACATGAGTAAAGATGAGGGATTTTCATTTCAAATAAATGTAATGCAACAAATAAAAATTCTAGTGCAAATATAAATTGCTTGTTTTCGTTAAATTTTATAAATAACAAAAAAATAAAAATAAATAACTGGAGACAAATGGAGATTGTTATTTTCATATGTTTTCTCAATATTTTCTTCGCTTGAAAGTTAAAACTTCAAAATGGAGATTATGGGTTTTCTAATACTGCATATATACTCCTCCTTAAGTTTAAGATATGTAAGAGACATTCATTCATTTTTAACAACTAGTCTTTGACATGTGCGTTGCACGTGTTTTATATTTATTGTATTTTTATTAGCATCAAATTTGTAGATTTCTCAAAATTGGTAAAATATTCGAAATATTTGGTGAAATCTAATCGTTTAGTTCATTACATTATCTTAGGATATATGGAGATTTCTTTTTCGTTTTTTATTTTTTTTCCTCATTTATTTATTTTTTATTTGTTTTGTTCATATTATAAAATTTTTTTTATTTAATATCCTTTTTAATTCTTTTTTCTTTATGAAAAAACTTAATTTTTTCAATTTTAATTAAAAAATATTTATATGTTCTTTATTTAATTTTCGCAACATTCTTTTGTTTAATTTGTTTTATTTTTATTATATATTTTTCAAAGATTGTTTTAAAAAAAATATTCATATTATAAATATTTTTTTTATTAAAATTCTTTTCGTTCTATGATTCAAATTCTTTTTTCTTCATATTATAAAAAAACTAAATGATTAACAAATTAAACAAGAAAAAAATCTTGCAGAAAAAAATTAAAAAAAAAGTTATTATAAAGTTTTTAAATTAAATTGAAATAATTAAAAATAAATTTTATTTAATTAAAATTTTAAAAAGTGATAAAATGACAAGAATTTTAAATCGAAAAATAAATTATTTATAATACGAAGTAATTTTTTAAAAGATTATAATAAAAATAAAACAAATTAAAAAAAAGTTACAAAACTTAAATAAAGAATATATAAATATTATTTAGTTAAAATTAAAAAAATGAAATTTTATCATAACAAAAAAAAAAAATTAAACAGAATACACTCTCCTTTAAAATGAGAGAATTCAAATTCTTTTTTTGTCATGAAAAAACTTAATTTTTCAATTTTAAATAAATAATATTTATATATTCTTCATTTAATTTTCATAACTTTCTTTTATTATATTTTTTTGAAAATTGTTTTAAAATTTCTTTTTTTATTCATATTATAAATATTTTTTTTCGATTTAAAATTCTTTTTGATTCTTTTTGTTTCACGATAAAACGCAATTTTTTTAATTTTCATAAAATAATATTTATTATTAATTTTAATTATTTCGATTTAATTTAAAAACTTTATAATAATTTTTTTATTTCTTTTCATTTTTTCTTGTAATTTTTTCTATTTTTGTTTGTAATTCTTTTTTTTCTCTAATATCTTGAGTAATTTAGTTTGTAGCTATCATGTTACATCACACAAATAAAAAAATTAAATGATTTAACAAATTAAGAAAAAAAGTTGCAGGTGAAAAAAAAAAGGTATTAGAAAGTTTTTTAATTAAATTAAAATAATTAAAAATAAAAATAAATATCAATTATTAAAAATAAAAAAAATGATGTTTTATCATAAAATGAAATGAATTAAAAAGAAATTTAAATAAAAAAATATTTATAATTTGAAGAAAGAATGAAATTTTAAGACAATTTTCAAAAAAATATAGTAAAAACAAAATAAAAGAAAGTTATGAAAATTAAATAAAGAATATATAAATATTATTTAGTTAAAATTGAAAAATTAAGTTTTATCATGACAAGAAACGAATTAAAAAAAAATTTAAATCGAAAAAATTTATTTATAATGTAAACAATTTGACTGACGAGAGATTGAGATTGATAATTAAAAAGTATTTCTATAAAGGGGAAAAATTAGGAAAGTTGTAATAAAATATTTGTATAAAATGGAGTAAAGGAGTTGGTTTCTACATTTAAGTGATTAACTAAAAAAACTCTGGTAAAAATTTCATAATAATATACGAAATTCAGCCAAAATACATACAAAAATAAAACGTAGGAGTTTTGCCCTCTCGTTATTTGTCTTTTTTTATCATCATCTCGACCTTATAGAAAAGAAAAATCATAAAACCTTGCAAAAATACGAAAGCTCCTTGAAAAAATTCTCCAACCGAATAACTCATGAAAAGTACAATCCATCTAAATCCACAGCGTATCAAAGCTGTAAAATTCTCTATCGATTGGAGAATTTCAAAAAAAAGAACCTATTGAATTGAAAATCCGACCAAACAATATTGGTGTTTAGGCTAACGAGGCCAAAAATAAAACTAATACGACCAGGAAAATAAAAACAGTGCATGGGTGCTGTCTTTTGTTATTATAATTGATCAGAAATTCAATGTTGCATAGGTACTGTCTTTTGATAATTGATCCCTATGATATTAAATTCAATGGTTCACGTGTGCACTCTCCATGCACGGAGAGTGCAGTCCGTGCACTTTGTTCGAATTCTTTTCTTTTTTCTCTTATTATATGTTTTTTTTATCTTTTCTATAAGCTAATAATAACAACTCCAATTTTTCGATTTTTAGAGAAATTTTAATATTGTTCGCTTTTTACAAAATTTTAGCCAAATTTATTGGAAACGTGCCAATGAACAAAAATCAGCAACAAAATGATAATACAAAAAAATATATACATATTGAAAAAATTTATATTATCAGGCTCTCAATTATAACACATTCTGCGTTTCGATTATTATTTGGAAATGATAATTTTGTTGGATCCTATAAATTCTAGATAGTTATCATGCCTTTAACAATCTGTTAATTTTGCATCAATTAATTCTCTTTGGTTACATCAATTCTTGTCAAGAAATTTAAGAATTGGAAAATGTAATTTATATTCGAATGTTGTTTAGTCTTTTCTTCATGGATTCTTGATAGGAACTACACGGAGAGAAGGGAGTTGAGAAGAAGAAATAAGGCGTGATTTTCGCACTTAAAAAATGCTACAGTAAGACAAAATGGAACAAAACACTGTCGATTTAAAAGAATTATAAGGAATTTTAAATCAAAAAAATATTTATAATATGAAAAAAAAAAGAAATTTAAACAATTTCCAAAAAAAAAAATTACAATAAAAAAAATAAAAGAAAGTTACAAAAATTAAATAAAGAATATAGAAATATTATTTTGTTTAAGACTGAAAAATTAAGTTTTATTTGGAAGAGAAAAGAATTAAAAAGAAATTTAAATTGATAAAAAAACAATTATTTGTAAAGTTTAAAAAAAATATATATGGAAACATTTTTGTCTCCATGCACGGGGGGAGAATTTATATATATTATTTTTTCAATTTAAAATTCTTTTTAATTATTTTCTCTTCAATTTTTTTAACTTGCAAGTAACTTTTTATTTAAAACTGAAAAATTAAGTTTTATTGGGAAGAGAAAAAAATTAAAAAGAAATTTAAATTGAGAAAAAAACAATTATTTATAAAGTACAAAAATAAAAAATGCATGGAGACTTTGTCTCCGTTAGAGAGAGATTTTTTTTTTAAGCTAATATATTTTTACATATAATAACTAACTACAATGATATGTTTTTTTTTATTTCACTTAAAAAACTTGAAGCAAATTTTTTACTTATAACTAACTATTTACATTTTAGAAATATATTGAGCTAATATTTTTTTATTGAACACGGAGTGAAGAGACGAGACTTAGTGGAAAGTATGAAAAGTTACGTGTTGCAGTAAATTTGGAGGTATACTATATATTAAAATATATACTAAGACAAACGACGTAGTTTTTGCTCCTTCACTTGAAAAAAAAAATAAAAATGAAATTTAAAACAATTTCCTAAAAAATAAAAATACAATAAAGACTAAATAAAAGAATGTTACAAAAATTAAATAAAGAATATATAAATTTTTTTTTTAAAACTGAAAAATTAAGTCCATGTTTGATCCCCATTAAATTAAATTAAATTACATTCCATTTTTCTCTCTCTTATTTTCAACCACACAATCTTTTATAAAATAATATTACACGTAAATCGAAAATTTTTTCTCCTATTTTCAACCACACAATCTTTCATAAAATAATATTACACATAAATCGAAAATTTTTCCTTTCTTTTTCAACCACTCATTTTTCTAAAAAATACTAATCCCTTCATTTTCATTTTTAGGTAATAGGAATCAAACAGGGACTAAATTTTATTTGGAAGAGAAAAGAATTAAAAAGAAATTTAAATAAATTGATAAAAAAACAATTATTTATGAAGTTCCAAAAAAAAATAAAAATGAAAATATTACGGAGAAATTTAATTTTTTTTGCATTGTTTAGTTTACATTATATATATAAATAGTTTTTTTTTTCAATTCCAAATTCTTTTTAATTCCTTTCTTTTCAAATTTTTTACTTACAAATAACTTTTTGTAAAATATTTTATGTCTTATATTATCTTAATTTTAATTTTTTTTAATATAAAAGTGATTTTTTTCTTATATTTCTACTATATATATCTACATAAGAGTGGTTGAGCACGGAGTGGTGAGAGGAATGAAAATTGCGTGTTGCAATATTTTTTTACTGTATAATAAAATATATATCAAGCAAGGTAAATGACGTCATTTTACTCCTCTCAATAAAATAAAAAAGCTACTGTGAGATAAAATAAATTAAGTCACTATTGCTTTTTACAGTAACTTCACATTCTTCTTTTTATATAGTAGGGATTACACGGACCTTCTTTATTTTAAATTTTGAATAGCGCATACATCGCATAAAAATTATAAAAATTTCAGAGACACCTCATTCCTTATAAAAAAAATCATATACAGCTTGTTTGTGAGCAATTTTTTTCCAAAAAAATTGATTTTTTGATCTTTATTTCACTATTTCAGGCGTCATATTTGATTTCTTCTCTCATAGGTGGACCCCCACTTTTCTTCTGACGGTCAAAAAATCAATTCTCAAAATTACTCCCAAACAGGCTCATAAACCTACATTATTTCAAGTTTTTGAATAACGTGTTATCCCTTTAACCACATTACAAATATTTAACTATTCCTCTGTTTAAAGAGAATTAAGATAAGTTTTTTAGTAGATTTTGATAAAAGTTAATAAAATGTGTAATAGATAAGTTGTGATTCTTATGAAATATGTGATTAAAATTAATTGTTAACTTTAATTTAAATTAAATCTGAATTTTAATCCCCACCAAACATTATATATTTTATCCACTTTTTATCAAAATCTACTAAAATTTTTGCCACACAACCCCTCAATATCATATACATCAGAATAGGTACATACCCTCATTTTCTCATTTCAAATTAAGTACCCATTGGAAGTCCATGTAGGGATATAAACGAGTCGGGCCGAGCCGGCTCGCGAGCCTAAAATTTTGGCTCGGGCTCGGCATGATTAAAATGGCTGAGCTTTTTTGCGGACTCCAGTCGGGCCGAGCAAAACTCAGTAAAAAAAAAGAGGCTCGGCCGAGCAAACGGGCCGAGTTGGGCAGGCTCTTTTTTTTTTCCTCCTCCTCCTCCTAAACTTCGACTCTATTCTCACTTCAATATCAATTTTAAAGTAATTGCATGTCAATGTTGGTTTAAGACAATTATTTAATATTTGTCTTAAAGTAATTTAGATGTATTAAGTTAAAAGATTTGGTTGACATATATTCAGTTTCTTGATTATCAGAACTATTTAAGGGAGCATCATGATGATATTTTATATAGTAACATGTTACACTTTTAGGTGCATGTTTGTATAATTAAAATTAGACACTTTTAGGTGGATGTTTGTATAATTAAAATAAGGCAGCAGTATAATTAAAATAAGGCAGCAAACTGCTGCCTTTAAGAGACAGCAGTTTAGGCAGTAAATTTATTTTATTTATTTATTTATTTATTTTTAAAATCTCGTGAGCTCACGGGCCGGCTCGGGCAAACCCCGTGTCCTCAAAATGTGGCTCAGCCCGAGCCTCGAGTCGAGCCGGCTCGGGCTTTTTTCGAGCCGAGCCACGAGCGGCTCGAGTCGACGAATCCGATTGTCATCCCTAAGTCCATGTCAGATTCTGGGGAATGAACGACCCATCAAATTCACATAAAAAATTATCAACATGAACGCAAACAAAAATCTTGAATTGCGTTTGCGAACCATTTCTATTCTCGACTGGAGCCCATTTAGGCCTTGTCCAGAATTGGGCTTTGTTCTTCATGGTAGACTCAGCCCATTATTCTGGACACCGAGTCATAAAAATATCACGCCAACCTTCTGAGGTTCAGGCGACTTTCTAGGGTTTTGAACTGAGCTAAACCCAGTCGCAGCAGACAACGCCCTCTCTCTCTCTCTAAAACTTTCTCCGGCTAGGGTTTTAAGCATGAGCAGATCAGGCCAGCCTCCGGATCTAAAGAAGTAAGTTTTTTTCTTTTTTTTTGTGGTCCCCATTTCTGTACCTTAAATGTGTTCGTGTAAATTATAGTTACTTCTGTAATTAAATTTGTTATTAACGATTAATTTGTTTTATCATAGGTATATGGACAAGAAGCTTCAGAGTAAGTCTTAACTGTTTGCCTCATGTTCAAATGCTGGGAAAAATATTCAAGTGCAGTGAATCATTTCATATTTTTTTTTGGCTTTTTTGTGCACCATATGTTCATCTGAATTGATGTTATCTGTTTTATATCTAATGGTGTGATTGCAAATTTCAATAATTATTTGATTTTTTAAAGTTCTCCAAATATTTAGTTTCTAATATATAATGAACACACTTAATTTCGTTACCAGTAGCGTTTGCTGAGAAAGTTCGAATGAACTTTAAACGGATGAACAATAACGACGGACACCTTTTGGAGCATGAGATATGGGTTGTTCGGAGAAAAAATATTTACTTGGGGATTACATGTAGGAAAATTCTACCCATGTTCAAATTATACTGAAGATGTGATAGAGAAATTAGTAGATTTCTTATTTTAGAGAAGAAAATATTTTTTGTTTTTTTAATTTTCCATGCTGTATATTCCTTTGTTGCCCTTTACTTATTTGAGCACATGAAGGGATGTGACTACTTAATAGTATATTTAGATTAAAAATATCCTTAGGGACCAGAGACAAAAAATGAAAGGTTGGGGACAACATTGCAAAAGGAAATGAAGGTTGAGGATGACAACTGCAATTTTTCCTGGAGATAGGCTTTGGAACATTTTTTTTCCCTGCTTTCAAGGTTTCACATTTTTTGGGATGTTCCAGTTATCCACGCTCATAATGGGACTTTAGCAATGTAGGCTCTCAATTCTCTTTTTTAAAATGACGATTTCTTTGAGATTTCAATTGTATTTTTATCTTGTGTCAATATTACTATATTAGGCTGCGTCTCTCATTCAACTGTCTTAATGCTTTCAGAACTTTTGGGTGGTTAGATTAATACACCAATCAGTGGGACATAATTTGACAAATTTTCGTATGGTGACAAGTCAGTAGTTTGTTTAGGCAGTGAAATCACTCTGAAGGGAGAATCATTTCAATAGTGATAATGAAATATCTAGATGTCACATTGCTTCTAATTTAATGTAGTGTTTATTTGTACATTAGAAATATTATTAGGAATTTAGAAATTCTGATCTGTCAAATTTATAGTTCTACATACCGTACAAAATAGTAAGAAGCCCTTGTTTGTTTACCTTTCTCCAGAAACTCTTTTTTTCTAGAACTCGTTTTCAATCACACATTTTCATGATAAAGCTTTTGTTTGGGTTCCATTAAAATCAAATTTTGGAAAAATGTATTTTGGAATATCGATTTTTTTAAGAATGTGTGGTTTAAAAGAAAGAAAAAGTTTTGGATTTAAGTATAATATTATTTTATTGGAGCATGTGTTGTTGAAAAGAAGAGAGAGAAAAAGACATTTTGAATAAAATGGAGCTCAAACAGGGGCAAAATATTTTGCAAAAACTTAAAACTTCTATTTCTTAACCACACAAACTCCAAAAAAAAAAAAAAAAAAAAAACACTAGTCCAAAACTTATTCTCCCTAAAAAACTCTTTATAATGTGTATCAAACAGTGGCTAAATGATCCCAACCTTTTCATAATCAATTATTTGCTTCTAAATATTCCAGACATCTCACAATAGCATTATTGTAAATGTGTATTTCTTTTATAAACTAATTAATGGACTGGCAATTAAATTTCTGTTTGTTCTATTTTTTTTGTTTCATTAGGACAATAAATAAGTTGGTCTTTTTTAAGTACACAGACAAGAAGCAGAAATATTTTATTTCCCCGTAAATTCATTGTTCTTTTGTGATCAACTCTGATATCTGCTTCAAATGGTAGAATACCAGGACGTCCAGCGAAATATGTGTTTCTAGGAGAATCGTCTAAATTTAGTTGTATACAAGCATTTTGTCCATGGATAAATACTTTAGCGTTTAGCCTTTGTCAAATTAAATCTTGTACAGCATGTTCTTTGTCATATTGCTTAACGCAAACTGCTACTTACTGTTTCAAGAAAACTTTACACGCTTGTTGTTTACATTTCCTATCTCTTGAGCACCACATTTCTGTTTCATTCCACCAATTTTGTACTCTGTCCTATTATTAAATATCCGGCATTTTGCATTTTAGTCAAGCTGAATGCTAATCGGATGGTGGTTGGAACACTTCGTGGTTTTGATCAGTTTATGAACCTGGTGGTGGACAACACTGTTGAAGTGAATGGCAATGAGAAAAACGAAATCGGCATGGTGGTCAGTTTACTCAGCTCTGATCTTTTGGTGCTTCTGTCATAATTCCTCAGTTCATTTTGATAAGGTCTAACTTGAAATTTTGGTTTTCCTTCTTGTTCTGCAGGTCATAAGGGGAAATAGTGTAGTCACCGTTGAGGCACTTGAGCCCGTTAGTAGACCACAGTAATTATACATTCGCAATGGTATGGATTCATGTAACTTGTAGTGGAGTGTTATTTCGGATGCTGAAGCTTTATGATACCCCAAAAGAACCTGTTCTTAGATTTACTTAAAATGTGTTGTGAGAATTATCCGCTTCAATATTCTGTATTTAATGGCTGAATTAATAATCTTGCTGACTAAATTAAATGCACCTGTTTTATGACGAAGAACTAAGCTTTGAGATGTGATCTGTATAGAAATGATCTCATAAACTAAGCACCGATAACCTGATATATCAATTACTCATTTATTCACCAATTAATTGATGGGTCATGTCAATGTTGTTTAATCGGTGCTTAAGGGATCATTTCTCATGATCTTTAAATTCTTCTTGATTATGGATAGGGATTTGGGATGATGAAATGCACAATTTCACCTGCTTGCTAATTATAACTGTTACATTCTCCACCACTGCGATCATTTGTAGTAATATTTTTATGAGAAATTTGCACCTTTTGTTTTCAATCTTTGTAAACTGTTACTTATCTATTCTCAACATTTTTAGCACAGCACATTTGCATTCTTTCATTTAATTGCAAATCACGTTATTCCACCCAATTTTGCTGTTAATTTAACGTAAAGTGATGAATTTGTCCTCTTAATAAACAAAAGCAATAAAACAGCAAAAAATAAGAAAAAATTACAATTGAGTTTCATAACTTTTACAAAAAGAATAAATGGATTTCACTTAGAAAGTCCAGAAAGAAAGGAAAAAAAATTCATCATCTTTCCCACGTCCCGCCACTATTCCAGATCCACTGCCGCGGCACCGCCACATCTGAAGGAAATTAACGTTATCTATTGGTGGAGATTATGCTAAGCTGCTTGTAGGTGAAAGACGATATTTAAGAACTATTAAAGCAACGCAGGCGGCTCTAGTCCACGCAAAGCCAATTCTGTTGTGAATTCTCTAAATAGTTTCCCACTTCTTGTAACGAATGCTTACAACATAATTGTGCGGAACTATTCATAGTATTTTAGGCATTACTTTTCCGGGTGTTAATACATCGAAATCCAAGTTAACATTGAGATTTGTTTAAGGTCCGTTTAAAATGAGTTTTTGAGATGCAAATGTTGCTTCTAAACTCGTTTGGTTACGAAAGAGCTTTTAGAGGAATTTGATTGAATGTGATTTCCTCTAAATGCTCTTTTCGAAGATGAAGTTATTTTACAAATTAGTTTTCAAATACCAATTAATTCTACGAGAAGAAACAGCAGAATGAGAAGTGCTGGCGACTGGGCCTTATTCATTTGTTAATCTGTCTTTAAGAATGCAGAATATTTAATTGACCCTTCAAATTCCATTTCAGATGGTGAAATGATATCTAACAACTCGTTGAAACGAACCTGGACTTTACTAATCAAGTTTGCTTGCAAAAAGGGAATTGGATGGATTCCCTGCTAAACACAGGTTGCTGTTTTATGGGTTGATTAACTTTTAAATGAAATAGATCGATTATGATATGAGTGCCAGCTTTTATGAAAAATATGCACATATATTAGTTTCTTCAGTCCTCGTTGGATATTATAGTGTCTGGGACGTGGACGAACCATACCTGTTCATTCCAAACTTGGTGTACTGGAATTTCTATCATCTCCTAGTCCTAAGAATCTACAGCTTTAAAGAATACGTATCCATGCAAACATATAAACAATGAGCAAAGACGGGGGAGGGGAATGAATGCTGATGTATACGTTTCACCTTCCATAAAACCTTTACTTTAAACAGACTCTACTCAAACCAAATTCTCAAGAATTTATATTCAATTGTTAATCCAATTTCCAATCTACCAACCCATCATCGAAATTCCAAATTAATTTACCAAAACAAGCAAGAAAACGTATCAAAGTTCACCCATTTTCCCTCCATTTAAACCCAAAAATCCAATCTTCACATGCACACTACACAAAATAAATGATAGACATTGAGCATTCCCCACCACCATAAATGGCTTCTCCTTCAAGCTCTGTGGATGACGGGTTGCACTCTCTTATTAACATTCAGTCGATAGATTTTTTCAGGAGAAATAATAGTACACAAGCACAACAGGATGTAGAAGAACAAAAAGAGGAGGGGGATCAATTGTCTGTTTTGGCTGCTTTGGTGACTGCTTTTAGGAAATCTTTGGTGGGTTGTTGTGCAGCTGAAAATTGTAGGGTTGAAGAATTAATGGAAATTGGGTTGCCTACTAATGTCAGACATGTTGCCCATGTCACATTTGATAGGTTCAATGGGTTTCTTGGACTCCCTGTTGAGTTTGAACCTGAAGTTCCCAGAAGGCCTCCCAGTGCTAGGTCAGTTTTTTGGTCTTCTCAACTTTATAATGAGGTTTTAATATTATACTAAATGTCATTTCAAAAACCAGAAAAAGGAAAGAAAGAAAGAAAGATGATTTGTAGGGAACGTGATCATGTTTTGGAGTGCTTATGAGGAAGCTTTTCTCTAAATTTTTGATTGCTATGACAGGAATCTCAGGCTTCTCCATATTTGATTTACGTGAAATACTTTAAAATTGAAGAATACACGGGGCTGTTTGAGTCTGTTTATAGAGTATTGGGTTGTTTTTCCTTCTATTTCCTTTTAATCATTTGCCGTGTTTATTAGGTGCGGTGATGATTTTTCAAAAGATCAATATTTGCGAATTGGTTCTGAATCTTTCCTTGTTAGAATATATGGTTATGTTCATTTTCTTTACTTTTTCTGGATAAGAGTCGTGAAAATTTAATGAACTATAAAACATGCTTGACAAAAGGAAAACCAGTAGTTGTTTCTTTTAGTTTTCCTACTTCCCTTGCATCTAAAGGTAAAACTTTGTCAACTCAAGTACCTTTTTGTTTTGACACTTTTAGAAGCTAATACCTTTGTTTTGTCGAATAATCCTGTTACTAAGGCGCAAAGTTCTTTTCAATTTATCCTGGAAAAGGGGGTAAAGTTTCCCTCTGATTAAGTTGTAAATGTTAATTCAATTTCACTTTCTTTCTTATCTTCTGCTTCCAACCTGTAATTATGACAAAACAATGTACCATAAAAACTCTTTGCAAGTGTTTGATACAATTTTTTTCATATTTGGTTCATTGGGATATTACTTTAAAATTTTCCTTACACTCTCCTACGGTTTTCTCTTTCTGTAAGTGGGAGAAATATGGTGTGATCTATCTACATACCAATGTCACTGATGTGGATTTTCAGAAACTGAGTAAAGGAAAAGCTAAATGAAAGACCTATTATGCATAAAATTCTGTTTTCTTAACTTCGAAAAGACATGTTTTTAGATGTTTGTAATTTATAAATAGTTATTCATCCACAAGTCAAGCTTATTAAAATTTTCTTCTAGAATTATTCTATTTATACTAATACTATGAATTCAATAATCAAGAGTTTATCAATCAAGGATTTCTATGGAAGTAAATGTAGTTAGCATGAATTCGGTATTTTCTATCATATCATTTGTCATGAACTTTGGAACATTCATAATTTTCTACCTTAATTTGGTACGAGTATGGAACTATGTTCTGTTTCG